GTCGCTGGTCGGGGTTCGCGCGTCCAGGCCCGAGAAAAACGGTTTCGTAGGCAGACCCCAGCCTTTCTCCAAGACCCAGCGCGCATCATCGCTGGATGGTTAGCGCACGTCCAGGCCCATGAGAGATTCTTCGGGACTAGATTTGGGCCACGCACCTCGGGCTCTGCTGGTAAATTGGTAAATGCCACTGGATAGCGACCGAGCTTTCTATATTTTATATTCTTCTTTTTTTAGTGATATTTTTATACACTGTGCTGAGTGATATTTCAAATCCAATCCACAGAGCGAGCTATCGATGCATATTTAAATGGCACGGGTTCTACAACCATCAGCGACGAATAATAAAACTATAATAATACGGCGTAGAACCTGATGACAGCAACCCGATCCGAACGAGAATGTGATAGGGATCGCATGCTTGGATACAAAATCGAACGTTGATGGCTTGTGCCGGTTGATTTTAGAACGTAACGACAGATGTGAGCCCATGACCGTGTCTGCATCTGCAACCCGAGGATGTGATACTAGTAGGGATCGCATGCTTGGATACAAAATCGAACGTTGATGGCTTGGACTGGGTGATTTTAGAACGTAACGACATTGGTGAGCCCATGACCATACTGTACCGGTACTGTTGACCGTCGTCCGAGCGTCCACAAATCTTGAATCTGCAACAATGATACTTATCGAAAGTCGCGCGACCAACCTTTCGAATTTCCATCCACTGCCAACCAAAAAGCAAAGCACGTGCACCGACGCACTGGAAACCCGCAGCAATGCCCGCAGATGCACTGCGTGCGAGATCGAGCAAGCGTACGGGACGTGCCGATGAGGCAGCGTCAATAGCTGTCCACTACAACGGTTGCCACGGTGGCGCACCATCCGTCGCGTGCAAGACCGCGTTGTGGGCACACGGTGCGCCGGGCGCGTCATGCGACGCGTTCATTGAGCTGTTCATTGGCAGGGCGAGCGCCGTTCTATGCAAACACTTGAAAGACGCAACAGAAACATTGTGAGCTGCTCATGCGTGTGCGCATTTTAGTTCAACACAGCGACTGTGCCGTGGCGCTACCAGTCGCCCTCTTTCAATGGCTCGTTCATCAACTGGATGTCACCGGTGTTGACTTTCGCTCTTTGGTTGTCGACCTTTGCGTCGAGTTTGTGACTGCCGCATCCAAGCGACGTCACTCAGACCTGGACGTCAACTGCGCTGTGATCAAGAACTCACTCGAGTCGATCACGGGCACCGTCAACGTGGCCATTCGAGTGCTACCGCTGCTCAACGACCACTGCGGATGGGCTTTGCTCAACTTGATCGGCGCAAAAGCTCTCGACACGAAGAACTTGCCAGCGCTCGCGTCGGCTCTCGTGATGATCCTCAAGAAACACTGCGCGGTTCTTTCAAGAAACTCGGCGACCTCTTATCAGACGACTCGAACTCGGGCCAAGAGTCGGCGCCCAAGCGTCAGCAGGTCGACCACACGACCAAACGTTTCAATTGTCTTTTTGGTTCTTTGTCGGGTCCAGATGATTGGTTTGACATCGTCAAGATGCTCTACGACGACGACACGCTTGCACCCACGGCCTGCCACGTTCTTCTGGCACAACTTGCGCCCGATGACACGAGCGACGCAGCGGCCAGAGCGAGGGACGTGCTTTTCGGCCGCTTGGCTTTGATCATGACGAAGGCGCCAACGCTCGACCTCGCGCTTTTGTGCGCCTACTATGGCGTTGAAGTGCGCCGGAGCCTCGAGGACTACTTGGAGTTGCAAGCAGACGAGTCAAAGAAGTCGAGCGCTCCTAAAGGTGCGACGTGCCCGACATTTGCCGTTCTCGATCTTACGTCCAACCCGCTGTGTCTGAGCGAGACCTCGATCCAAGCCGTTTTTGCAAGCTCCGACCCAGAGAAGCTCATTGTGCTCGCGTACTGGATGCGTCTGCGCGCCCTGTCGGAGACCCCGGTGGCCATGTCCGACGTCGCTCGGACATGGCTCAATGATGGCGCGCCAGCTGCGATACGCATGGCATATCTGGTCGCCATTGCTCAGGGTGGTACGGCGCTCAAAGAAGTCGAGGATCTCTTGATCGCGCAGAAGGACAGCACCAACGTCGACGTCGTTGCATCGACTCTGGTTGGCCTTCAATTTCTCTGCTCGGTCACGCCGTCGCCGCAGCTTGTCGCATCTAAAGCCGAAGCCGCCGTGCACTGTATCAGGCGGTTGACGGCGCCAACGGTGGTCGAGGCTGCCGTCGCGTCCTTGCTGGATGCGTGGTGCAACGTTGAAAGCTTCGACCCGCCGCTTCACTTTGTGTGGGAGGTGTTGACGCTCTTGGACGAGCCGCGCGCGTTTGTTTGCGTATCCGTCGGTCTCCAAGTGCCTTCTCTCTTGCGGCGACTCGGTTCTCGTCTCGTGGAGGCATTCGGGCCAAACTTATCGGACAAATTTCTCGTCTCGCTTCTTGGCAACAACACACGTACAATCGACACCATGGTGAGTCTGGCGGCCCATTGTCACTTGGCGCGTGACACCGATCGCGCCGTCTTCTTTGCCATCTTCGGTCACTTGATGCGCGTCGGAATGTGTGCCGTAAAAGTCGTCGCCGACCCGCTCCGGAAAATGCTCGCCGCACAGCACACCTCGTGGTTGGAGCTCTGTCGCGCGTTTCCCGACGATGTCGCAAAAGCGTTGCCCGCGACAGCGTCTCTCGCGACCCAAGTCAACGGCTTTGTGGCTACGGTCTTCAGCGACTTGACGTCGCTGTACCTCCTCGAGCTTGCACCGTTTTTCATCATGTCGCCCGACTTTACCGACGTCGGACCAATTGCCACGGCCATCAAAGACAATGCGACTGATACGACGACCATCGCTCGACTCCTCTGCCGCCTCAGTGCGCTAGCGACTTTGAGGGCGACTGTCCACTCGGGGAGCCTCGAGTATGTGACAAGTGTCGTCGAAGAAATACGGCGGGATGAAGCGCGTGCGACGGGCAACCATGTACAACCCGTCATCGCTCCTGTTTCTGTGCTTTGGGAAGTGCTGGTGCTGTACGGCGACATGCAACGTCAAGGCACCATCAACGTCGCAGATTTTGACCTCAAGGACTCGGCGTTTCTCGCCGCGATGGCCATGACGATCAAACATGAGAGCTCGCGTCGCTGGGGTCATGTTCGCCTGCACCGATGCGTCGCGCTCTTGATCCGCGACTGCTACAAGGCTGACGTGCCGCGTGAGCTCGTGCAGATCATCAAGGACATTATTCTCGCGGTGTTCCAAGACGATAGCAGCATCCACATCCGCGACGCCGTCTACAACGTGTGGTTCTCCCACGGCGCGAACGACGCGGTGTGGCCAAATGAGACAGTCGCACTCGCGCAACTCGCCAAGGTGCTCAAGGAAATGGACCCGATTGCGCGCCGCTTTGCCAAATACGTTTCGCGGCAGCAGGCGTTACCGTCGGTGGGACGACGTGGACGTGCCTCGATCTTGTCGCGGTGCTTTTTGATGGCGATGTGTCGGCTCTCGACGGCGTCCCAACCGACGTCGTTTTGGGTCACGCGAGCACTCTTCTTCGGCACGACGACGGTCTTGTGCGCGAGATTGGGCTCCGGCATCTGCTTCGGCGTTTGAATGAGCTCTACACGCCCATCACGGACGAGCTCATCGACGCCCTTGCCGACGCGACGATTGCAGAGCCAGCACTTCATGAGCTCATGTCACAGTGGGCCGTCGGCCCCCAAACAGTAGAGAGCAATTCGTCGTGCGGTCGCTTTTGGCTCGAGTGCGTACTCGCCAAGTGGTTTGAGCGCGCCAGGGACGTCAGGCAGGACGACGCGACGCTAAAGAAGCTCACGGCCTGCGTCGCGCGCGCTCGAGAGCTGCTGCCACCCGTCCTGTGGCTCTCGGTCTTCTACACGATTACGCTGCATCTTGGGTGCACCGTCGTTGCGAAGGAAGTCCAAGCCATCACGATGATGCTGCTCGTCGAGTTACCGGACCAAGCGATTTGGCATCTCGTTGGTCGGCGTCACTTGCCTGCCGTCAAGCAAGCCATCGCCGCGGAGCAGCTCGTTGCCAAGAAGGATTTCGTCGACACGTGGAGCGACATCGTCAGTATTGCCAGCCAGCTGGAAGCCATGGTAAACAGCACGGGCGTTGTCCTTGACAACATCACGATCAGCTACAAGATCCTCGTGCCCACGTCGTCGCAGCTCATTGATCTGTCGGGCGCCAACCCCGTCTACATAAAACGCATCTGGGTTGGCCGGCCGATTGCTCAATACAAGTCAAAGCCGCGCATCGTCGGACTCGTCGGCTCGGACAACAACACGTACAGGTTTGTCCTCAAGAAGGATGCGATCCGGAAGGACGAGTTTGTCATGCAGTCGGCGACGCTCGTCAACCGTTTGTTGGCCGCCAACAAGCCGACGATCGACATTCGCCTCGAGACGTACGCGGTCGTCCCGTTGGCAAACGATGTCGCACTCATCGAGTGGGTGCCCAACACGATCACGCTGTTTGCTGCGGTCGAGAAGGAAGCGCGGGAAACGATAAGCCGTTGCATGCGCAACTACAAGGTCGAGCTTGACGCGCTCGCGGGCGGTGACATTTGTAGCAGTACAGCGTTCACCGAGCTCATGTCCAAAGAACCCGAGAAAGTTTGCAAGCTCTACAAGGAGTATGCCTCGGATCCATGCTTCAAGGAACATCTCGTCAAGTGGTACCACGACGTTTGGTGTCGACATGCGCCAACCTCGGTATTGACTCTTTCCAATGACAGTTTGACATACTACCTATAGAATGACGTTCCTGCGATCGACCGCTGTATCATCCATCTTTGGCTACTTTCTCGACGTTGGCGACCGGCACATGGGCAACATCCTCCTCAACGTGAAGTCGGGCAAGTGCGTGCACATCGACTTTGAGTGCATCTTTGGGCGCGCCAGACATCTTCCCGTGCCCGAGCGCGTCCCGTTCCGCCTCACACGCAACATCTGCGACGCGCTGTCGGCCATCAACGACTTCGACGCCTTCCGTACCACGTGCGGGGCCGTGCTTCGCAACCATCGCGCTGTACTGCGATGCCACGTCGACATGTTTGTGCGCACTGATGCGTCCTTGGCGCCGAATGTTGTCGCCATCCTCCAAGCTCTTGACAAGCGGCTCGCCGGTGCAACGATGGCCGAAAACGCCGACGTAACCAAGAGCTCCGAAGACATTGCGCGAGACGTCGAGTCGCAAGTCGAGTCGCTCGTGGACGATGCCATGTCCATCGACAACCTCATGCGCATGTATTTGGGGTGGTCTGCACCATTTTAGGTAGTAGTTTTTTTTTATGTATAAGACATCATCAACACGTCGTATCAGTCCATAAAGTACTGCATGGTGCAAACCACGGTACCCGAGGACGTGAGTCGTGTCACGCGAGCCGCGCGTCGTCCACTGAAGAACGACTCGCAACGGACGAGCCAAGCGCGGACCTCCATTTGCACAACGTGCACGTTGTCCGCAAACGTCTCGTCCATGCGCAGAAAGTACTGCCGGCGCGCCTCGAGGATGTCGATGGTCTGGGCGTTCTTGGCTTGGAGCCGGGAATGCACCAGTTAAGGCGGCCGCAGAGCACAACGATCGACACCGTCAGCTTGCAATTCCAGAGCTTTTCGTAGAAGGCTGCGTCGGAGAGGCCTTTGTGTGTGGCATAAGCTTGCGAAACATGGTGTACAGGCATGCTCGGTTGTCATTCTCGGTTGTAGAGATGTGGGCATGGGATGACAAAAAAGGGTCTAAATCAGATGCCCGCGCTGCGATCCCGGAAACGATAAATACCCTTTTTTGTCGCCAATCAATTTACAGGCGCCTCCAGCAGTTCAACAATGACGACAAGCGCGATGGAAGGAGCGTTGCGAGGTGCCTGGGACGACGTCCTTGGCGTGCTGACGTCCGTCGACGACTACGATCTTGCCGAGACGTCGCCCACCGTACGCTCTCTGCCACGTTGATGGACGCTTCAACAAGTGCTAGGGCGAAACACTGCTGCAGCTCGCATGCGCCGCCAACGCGATCGCTGTCGTTCGCCACTTGTGCACGCACCCGCGCTGCCATGAGGTTGTCAACGCCGCCAGAAATGTTCGTATTTGTCTACTACGGATATGCATAGCTATCTCTTTTGTAGGACACGCGACCGGCACTGCTGTCGGCCGTGCTGGCGGGCGCCACCGAGATCGTCTCGATGCTCTTGGCGACGTTTGGCGAGGATCTAGACCTGAATGTATCGCACAGCGGACCCTTTGAAGTACATCATTTGTACACTGAGCAGTCGTCGACAACAGCTTACGTAGGACGCGGAGCAGTGGCCGCTCATGGCTGCGATCGATACAAAGCACGTAAAGATCGCACTGCTCTTACTCGACCAGCCTAGCATCGACATCAACCGACGGCGCGCAACGGTTCTATGTGCTTGATGAGAGCCAGGTCACGAAGCAGCATGTCTTGTAGGACTCGACTGCGTACTATGTCGCTTGTATCCTAGACCTCGTCCCGGTCGTCGAGCGAATGCTTGCGCTGCCGGCGCTCACCAGAGACGTCATGACTAAGGTCCTTCTCCATCTTAGGTTTTGTAGTACTCATTTGCGCTCGTAGCGAGGCAGCACGCCGTTCACTGGCGCCTGCCGCCGCGCTGCGTGGTCAACGGCGCGCGTGCTTTTGCGCGAGCATGCGATCGCAGACATCAACGCCCAAGACCCTGTTGACTCCGATGCAGCAATCTATACTGAGCGGCACCTTTTAGGAAGGAAGAACAGGCTTTTTATGGACCTGCTACCACGGAAACCTCGATTTGGTCGAAGTGCTCCTTGAGGTCGTCGACGTTACTCGGGCGTGTCATGTACAATATGTCAATTCGACTACACCGCCTCGATTCAGATGCCCTGCGTAGCGCCACTGGACGGCGCTAGACTACCTCAGTCGCAACCTCGTCTGCGACGAGGCACACGACAACGACAGGCTCATCAACCTTGTGCAGCGTTTGCTCGCGCGGGGCGTCACCTTTGGTGTAGGAACTTCTTCGGCCGCTACAGCTCACAGTCCTTAGGTGCGCACGCAACCAATGGTATACCGACAGCCACGCCGCGACGCCGACGTCGACCTCGCCGAGCTCGCAAGCCGACAACAATTGGACGAATTGTACAATGTCCTTCGCGACGGCGCGTATACGGGCAACGTCAACCGTCTGTTCGAGGTAGAATATTGTTGAATTTCCTCCCAGCAGCGACTTGAAGCGAGAAGGAAAACGCTGTCTTGCACTATCTATGTCTGAGCGGCGTCGGCCACGACGGAGCATTGCGCTTTTATGAGCCCCGGTTGGACATCCTCGATTGCCTCTTGACGATGTACCCAGACGTCGGCCTCAATCTCGTCCAGATCGTAATACATTCAT